TGTTTTAGAATAGAGAATGCGTCACCATTAGGTAAGGATGGTAAACCGATACCAATTGATTTAGATAAAGCACGCATTGGTATTACTATTTGGCCTGAAGATTATAATATTAGATTTGTAAAAAGACATGATAATGTCGAAAAGGTTTTATTTGGTCTAACCTAAATTTATAAAAGAAGTGAATAAAGATGCAATGAAAAATAATAATTACGTTAAAAAAAATTTATTTACAATTAGAAAAGCTCTCAACATACCATTAGGAAAACTATTTATCCTTATCAGTATACAAATACAGTTTTTCACGATTTATAGTATAATACTAATTCAAGTTCAGATAGCTTTTATATAATAAAGAAAAATAAAATCGACAAAAGGTAAAAACAGAGCATTTTCAGAGCAGTATCAATCAAACAAACTAAAAATACAGTTTTCATTACAATTTTTAAAAAAGGTTATTAAACAATAGTATAATTTGTCAATAAATAGTTTTATTGCTTTAGTTATGAGTAATACGAAATAGTAGTGTAGTAAAGTAGTGGCGTATAATACGTTAAAAACGTGTGTATGGTTGGTGATGTCACAACTGCGTATAAAATAATAATAATATATCTGTATATTGTGTATATACGAACGTATACTGTATAAAATTTAGGCAAATGTGACGTTAAAGAAAGCTAGACTTCGGGCTATTATACTTAACAATATCGGGACCAATTCTGAATAATTTTAATAGGTCGAGTCTGTGATGTCATAAATTAAAAGCCCGAAGCTTTAAAAACGAAAGCAATGAGTATAACAGTGTTTTTTTTTAAAAAAAAAGAATCGGTTTTAAAAATATAGATTACCCATCAATAAAATGATGATATTTTCGAACGATATTAGTTCTGACGAAGAATCTATACCATCGGTTAATAGCTTTTTTAAAGAAGAAAATTTTTTCCAAAAAAAGATCCTTCTATGAAAGCTTTATTATTAATAAGAGAATTTTTTTTTCAATAAAAATAATTCTTTAAATGAAAGTTTTAATACCAATAATCCCCGATCACTATATCAAGATCACGGGAGGATTATTATTACTAATACATTTGAAGATAGATTCCTTTTCTCAAAAAACTTATATGTATATATGAAGCATAACATTCTACGCTACCACTATAGATAGTAGGCGAAACCTATTTCTAGAACCTAAACCCAAAAAAGATGAAAGACGAAACCCTGACAAAACGTTGAAACCCTCGATGGAACTCCAATAAAAATATGTGAAACTTCGTGAAAGTTAAACATAAGATTTTTAATTGTAAACTTTTTTTTTTACTTATCGTTTTAATTGCTGTCTATACAATGCCAAGCAAATACTCAGGTTAAAATTGCAACTTTCAATTTTAATAAAGATAATTTTTTTGATTATCATTCTAATGGTGTCTTAAATATGATTAGAAAATGTATTAAGTAAGGTGAAAGGCTAATTTAAATTGTCTAGTTTTTGCAACCTTCAGTTTTATTGGTTTTGTCAATTTCTAGTTTCGTCATATTTTGCCAGTTTTACTACATTTCCATTCATTTTTTTTAGCAAAAATCGAAATTATGGTGTCGACTTCACTGGCACGAAACCTCTAGGTTTTCTTAACAACTATAACTGCCACGTCAAAATATTCAGAACAAACAATTTAGAATGTTTGATTTTAGCTGCCCAAAAACTATTCTCGAAAAAAAAACTTAAAAAACACGCATAATTATATATAGAAAAAAATCTCAGATTAATTGAATAAAGCAAATTATTTTATTAATGTTAAATAGAATACATTGTGAATAGTTGTTTTAACTAAGTAATTTGAACTAAAACGATGATACGTTCCCAGAAAATTAGCGAGATTGCATTAAGTATTATAATTGTTGTGGATAGAACGAGCAAGTAGCATCAACCAGTGGTTTCCCGCCTGCTTGAAGCAGGCCAACTATTAAATAGGAGAAATAGAAGAAGAATCATTTTATTCCAATACTTCATGTGTACAGATTAATTAGCCTGTCATTAGGATTGTTAATGAGTTGGATTGGTTTTAACCTTGTGAGGCTAATCTAAAACCAAGTCAACCTGGAACAATTATTCCAAAGTTATAATAAAGACTTATTGCTTAAGACTTTCAACGTGTTAATAAGAAAGACAAACTACAGTCGTCCTCCCATACAATCACACAGTTGGGCACATAGCAAATTTTTTTCAAAATGTGCTTATATAGGAGTTGTGCTTGTATGGAGGTCTTTTTCTTATAAATTAAATCATAGTTTGGCCTAAACATAAATGTGATTACATATGGTGTGATTATATGGGAGGTGACTATATAGAGGGACGACTGTAGTTTAAATTTAAAAGGAATGATCACCTATTAATAAGGAATAATTAAAGTACAGTATCACCTATATTTAATAAAAATGATAGAAAGTTGATTATTAGAATCAATTTTAAAATCCAGTCAAACCCCTCTATAGTCACCTCCTCTATAGTCATAAAATTGGTATAATTACAAATTTATTTTAACCAATTATTATAACTATATAGAAAATACCTCTATATTAGTCACACTTCTTTACAATCATGGTTTTTTGTATCCCGAAGGTGTGACTATAGAGGGGTTTGACTGTATCCTCAAAATTATTTATATAATACATGTATCGTCCTAATCTTAGTGAAGACTTAATTTCAATTAGAAAAGAAACATAAATACAGCCCGAATACAATAAAAATTTTTGGGAAGCATCTATTCTTAGTCTAAAAGGAAATGTGGTGGATCACAAGCTTAGAGCAAACCAATTCGTAATTAAATGCATGATCGATTAATTAATTAAATAGGTCCTTTAAACATGCTATGTACCGTATTTTCACGAAATAACGCGCAAGGGTGTAATTTCGAAATTTGGCCTAAATTAATCTTAATTCAGGCCAAAATTCTAAATTACACCCCTGCGCGTAGTGTTTCCCAGACCCGAACCGAGACCCGGAACCGATCTGAAACTGATCTGACAGATCAGATCGAATCTATAGTTTTCTGGAACTGATTACTTCAGGTTTTGAAAAGGACCCGAACCGATAATAACCGGTCCAACCCGGTAGTAATAGTAAAACGATAATTTCGATATAAAAGTTTTTTTTTTCTGTCATTATTTTTACGTTGGAATTTCATAATAACACTAAGATTGTACTTCTGAAGGGCAAAAGGCACCAACCAAAGCTTTTGCAAGAATGGTGTCGGGATATGATAGGTTGCATGTGTGCCTTGTGCAGGCAGGGTAAATTGGATAAATTGTAAGATAAGCGATAACAATGTGCGTGATCTAAAAGCTTATCTCCGTCTAACATAAAGTCTATTATATAATCATGCATAAATGCGTAAATAAATATGAGGTTCGATCTGATAGATTGAATCCACTTTTGATTTTTCTTGTAAGAACTTATGCCAAAGTAATAGTAACGTTGTGTCTTGTTGGAGAAAGGAGGAGCCAGGTGTAGGAAAAATGAAGTTTTTAGTAAAGTGATTATAACAAAATATCATTAATATATCCACTTATTGGTTCATTACGTTGTTTAATTATTCTCTTTATCGTTCTTTATTAAGATACTCTCAGATTTCTTATCG